AGATTACCAGATTACAAAGCCACTGTAATCAGGACAGCCTGGTATTGGCACAAGAACAGGCATATAGACCAATGGAACAAAACAGAGAACCCAGAAATGGACCCAAGACAATATGCTCAATTAATATTTGACAAAAGTGACAAGAACATACAGTGGAGTAAAGACAGCCTCTTTTTATAAATGGTGTTGGGAAAATTGGACAGCTACATGCAAAAAAAAAAAAAAATGAAACTAGACCATCAACTTACACCATACACAAGAATAAACTCAAAATGGATAAAAAACTTAAATGTGACTCATGAATCCATAAAAATCCTAGAAGAAACTGTAGGCAACAAAATTTCAGACATCATATGCAGCAGAATTTTCACTGATACATCACCTAAGGCAACAGAAACAAAGGAGAAAATAAACACATGGGACTACATCAAACTCAAAAGCTTCTGCACAGCAAAAGATACAATCATCAAAATAAAAAGGCAACCCACTGTATGGGAAAGCATAACTGCCAATGATATATCACATAAGGGGTTATTTTCCAATATGTATAGAGTGCTCATACAACTTAACAAAAGGGAGACAAAGAACCTAATTAAAAAATGGGCAGAGGACCTAAATAGACACCTCTCCAAACAGGACATACAAATGGCTAAGAGACATATAAAGAAATGCTCAACATCACTAATCATCAGAGAGATGCAAATTAAAACAACAATGAGGTATCACCTCACACCTGTCAGAATGGCTGCCATCAACAAATCATCAAACAACAAGTGTTGGCGAGGGTGTGGAGAAAAGGGGACTCTAGGACACTGCTGGTGGGAATGCAGACTGGTGCAGCTACTATGGAAAACAATATGATGTTAGCTCAAAAAATTAAAGATTGAACTGCCATTTGACCCAGTGATCCCACTTCTAGGAATATACCCTAAGAAGCCTGAAACACCAATCAGAAAGAATATATGTACCCCCATGTTAGTAGCAGCACTATTTACAATAGCTAAGATCTGGAAACAGCCCAAATGTCCATCAGTAGATGAATGGATAAAAAAGCTGTGGTACAAATACACAATGGAGTACTATGCAGCTGTAAGAAGGAAAGATCTCTTATCCTTTGAGACAACATGGAGGGACCTGGAATGTGTCATCCTAAGCAAAACAAGCAAAACAGAAAAAGACAAGTATCATATGATCTCACTTATTTGTGGAGTATAATGAACATAACAGTCTGAGGAATGGGGTAGTCTCAGAGACGTGGAAGTGGGGTACAGACTGACAATCCCCAGAAGAGGAGGTGGTGGGGGAGAGATAAACCACAGAACTTATATGCATGTATGCATGAACAATGGACATGGACAACAAAGCTGTGGACAGGGCGGGGAGGTATGGGGAGTAGGGAATCAGTGGGGGGGGAAAGGAGAAATATCTGCAACAATAATAAATTAATTAATTTAGTTAAAAATAAATAAAATACAATTATCATAAATGTTTAGGCATATACTTAATATGTGATGTTCATACCCTTTTAATTAGCTAGTTATTAATATAAAAAAGGAGCAAAGGGTGAAATCAGACATCGGCATGTTATTTGGGCAGCTTCTCCAGGAAACTGCAGTCTCACATTCTCCAAGAATCCAGCAAAGGGGAAATAGACTCATGCCCAGGGTAGATGCTTGCTCTCAGTCACACATGAGAACAGAGGCCATTGGTAAGAATGGACGTGTCCACCACAAGCACATGGAAGTTGGTGGATATATAATTCCTTAAACAAAGGAAGTGGCTCTCTTGGTGCTCTTGGGACTCTTGTTGCTTGTGTGCTCCTGGCTCACCGTTGGCTTCCGTGTATTCGCCCACATGGCATGGCCATGAGGACACCACACACAGTGGACTAGTAGACTGCAGCCAGCCTGCTCCTGCAATGAACTATGAGAACATGGAACAGCAACTCCGGACACTGGCTCTGGTTTTAGGTCTACTGAAATCTCAGCGATACTTCTTCTAAAACTAGGCTAAAGAAAATGGGACTTTGGAAACCCAGAGGTGTAGTTCCACAGAAATAAAGCTTTCTACCACATCCTTCCTGTGAGTTTCAGAAAATTTCTTTTCTTGAGGTATCACAAAAATCCCACCCCTAGCACCAATCAGGGGAGATGAGCCCCTCTTCTACCCTATAACAATGTGATAGGTATCTAAGAAAAGTCTTGCTCAATTTGATGTCCAATTTTGCTAATTCATGATACTAATATTAAATCCTAACCACAAAATATGCAAAGGTTTTTATTGACATGACTAGGAAAATTCTGTTTTTCTTATGCCAAACAGTTGTATAATCCCTTTTAATGTTTTAAAAAAACTGTTCAAAGTTTATTTAAATTTTTAATGAAACAAAATTGATAAATATGCTTACATGATAAAATTTAGCTGCCTGGAGAGAGTGGTGGAAGTTTGCCCTATCTCCATTCCCATTTCATCCTCACATTTAGACCTCACATCACTTTGTACACCAAAGGCCCTCTTACCCATCCCATGCCTCACCATGCTGCATTGACACTCGGTGCAAAGCCTCTGTCTCTCACCCAACAGAAAGACAGTTCTGGAAGGTGTGCTTCTTAAGAAGGAGTCCTTTGGGGGAAAGCAAAAGGGGCTTTAGTAAGGTGCTTATGCTTTGTCAGTTACCTCCTCTCTCCAGAATAAAATCTTCCTGTTTACTGTCTGGGTTTTTGTTTGTTTGTTTGTTTTGGTATTTGCACCCAACAGGAACCAAACCTGGGACTCTCTGGCCTGCAGTCCAATGCTCCAATCACCGAGCCAAACCAGCCAGGGCTACTGTCTGGTTTTGATCAACATTAAATGTGCTTAATTGTCATCTTCTTCATCCTAAATATGACCATTCCTCAGTCTTACAACCACCTGTATTGTCTTGTTCCTATCATTCTCTTCATACTCAAACTATTGAAGTCCCCTGCAATATCGGTCCCTACTTATTCACATGCAGTTCGTGTCTACACTCACTGTAATGTTCCCTCAGCCTCCCTGTTCTCCTGCACTGCTCAGGCAAATTTTACAATAAATCTCATCTTACTCAGGTCGGAGATCACCATCAATCTACCGTGGCTGTCATCTCAGAAGAATCTGACATTGACCATATCCTCGATGTAAAGCCTGATCTTAATCTGGCTTCTATGCCACCATCTCCTGCTGTTCTGCTCCTCCTCCCCTCTTTCTTTGTTGACCACCCCCTCTCATCTTAGGAAATTTTGGTGTTACTCAAAATTCTAAGCTAGGTGTCACACTTCATGCTCTCTGTACAGTCTCGACATCCCAAATTGTTCCAAATGTCATCTTAATGATTATGACTTACCTATGTATGTCCTTACTGAGAATCATATCTCCAAACATTAGACCTATATTTCTACCTGCCACCCTAGAATATCTGCACTCTACATGTCCAAAATTGACCATCATGCATTTACTTTGCTAACTCCTATAGGTCCTTGGGATGCCATCATAGTAGTTGCTTGCTGTGGAAGCTTTCTATGACCCGTATAAGCCTAATATGTTTCCAGGATCCTTTGTTACTATCACGTCCATTAGCATTAATTTACTTGAATGTTCAATTGCCCATATCCCCACCAGCTTGGAAGAAGCTGTGGGAGCAGGCAATGGGTCTTTGTGCCTTGTATCTGGCAGCCACCACAGAACCAAGAAATAGAAGGTACATTCACTACTTGTTGAAATTTTAATTCCATGATTCTCTATTTTACTTTAGCTTCTAGTTCATGCAACGGCTGAAATTGAATCAACAATTATCAGAATCACTTTCTCCAGGAAAGCATGAGTAAAACTGAATAGCTGTAATCTGTCAGTCTCTTATGCATGTCCTTCATGGCCCCAAAAAGGATCCTACTTAATTACTTACTCTTCAAGCCCTGTTTTCTCTGCCAGAATGCTCCATTAAAGAAACTACTATCTTTGTTTTATTTACTAATATACTCACAAACACAAGTAAGTTACTTAGAGAAGAGATACATCAAAATATTTAGTGAATCAATGAAATGAATAAATCCATTTATGTATGTTTTGAATTAGAATATAAATTAAAGGTTTAGGGTAGTCTGTATCTCTTTAAGAGTATGACTAAGATCTAACACATAATATATATATTTTATGCCCCCAAAGCTAGTGAAAACAGAACACAAAGCTGACCATAAAATAATATGAGGAATAAATTTTATAAATACAACAATAATCACAGATAGATAAATTTTAATCACTACAAATTAAAACTGCATTTTCTCTTGATTCATAGTTTCTTCTTTTAATTGAAAAGCAACCTGCCCAAAATGACTCAGTAAATTACAACTGGAGTAGAAAAAAATGTCTTATAATTGAGTGAATATTTATAAGCTTGAGGCTTATAAGTAGATAAAACTTATATGACTAAATTCTGGAGAATGAGTCTAAGTCTCCTTTCCAACTTCCTAGGTTTTCTGTGAGCTTGGTGATACAGAGAAAGCCTTTATGATTTTTCATTTCTTAAATTTATTATCCAGGCTGATAATGTGACAGACACAACAGCTGTAGACTCTCTTTTCAGATAGAGACTGATTCTTTGGTAATATCTCTTCACAGCCTGGCTGGAGTCCTCATACCCAGGAAGAGTGTGTTTTCCTCCCCATGTCCTGCACCCAACTGATCTACACATCTGCCAACTGCTGGTCAGACCCAGGGAGGAATTTCAGCTGTTTGTGCTGAAGAGGTTGAAGATCTTCTGGATCATGATATGAAGAAGGAGGTGGCCTGAGATTTTTGGCACTGGCTGTCATCCAGCTGCCTCTGGGGGAACCTGAGCACATTGTTGTCCTTAAGGCAGGACAACTAGGAAGATTCTCCTTTTTTTGGTGCAGAACTGGGAGGGTCTCCTGCTTTGGCAGGCTTAGAGGACAAAGTTCAGAGAGTTACCCAGCTCATCCAGGCCAGCAGCATCTGCAAGGTCCCCAATGGCCTTACCCTTCTCCTTCCTGGTGGCCCTGGTGGTGCTCAGCTGCAACTCCATTTGCTCTACATGCTGTGACCAGACTCAGATCCATAGCCTGGTTAAAAAGGAAGCCTTGATTCTCCTGGTACAGATGAGGAAATTCTCCCCTTTCTCCTGCCTAAAGGACAGAAAGGAATTTGGGTTTCCCCAGGAGGTGTTTGGTGGCAACCAGCTCCAGAAGGCTGAAGCCAGCTCTGTAGTCCATGAGATAATCCTGCAGACCTTCCACCTCTTCAGTAAAGAGAGCTCATTTGCTGCTTGGGATAGGACCCTTCTAGGACAATTCTGCGCTGGACTTTTTCATCACTTGGAAGCTTGTCTGACACAGGAGGCAGGGATGGAAGAAACTCCCCTGATGAATGAGGATTCCATCCTGGCTGTGAGGAAATACTTCCAGAGATTCCGTTTCTACCTGCAAGAGAAGAAACACAGCCCTTGTGCTTGGGAGATTGTCAGAGCAGAAACCATGAGATCCTTGTCTTTCGCAGCTAACTTGGCGAAAAGATTAAGGAGTAAGAAATGACACCTGGTTCAACATGGAAATGATTCTCACTGGTTAATAATATCACACTTCCTCATGTTCTTGCACGTCAAACTCCCTTTTGTTTCTGCTGTAATTACGACATGAATGAAATCAATTTGTTAAATGTTTTCAGGAATATTAAGTCACATCATGTTCAACTCTATAGACACTGGTAGCTCACAGAGGCCGGTGCTGATGCAGTTATTTAAATATTCAATTATTTATTTAAGTGCTTACCAGATTTAAATTGTTTTTGTTCATACACCATCAGGTACAGGCACCTTTATGCTGTTACTCTAATAAAATATGTTCTTTACATTGAGTCAATTTATGATTATTTGTATTAAATTTTTACCATAGTAAATTTAGTATTTGTTTATTGTAAAAAGAAACAGGAAGCTAGATTGTGCCACTTGACTAAGAATGGATGGCACAATTCATTTACCCATCATATGACTTTCAGATTATAAATGACCATTGCCATCTTCTACACCAGGTTGTGTGTTGCCCTCACGATATAGAAGTGAACATAATTAATACTGTTCCAGTCCTCTGGTATCTTAGATTTTTGGAAGGAAAGAAACCTAAAAACAATAATTAAAATTGATATCAATTTGCAAATGTTATATTGAGAAGAAGAAAATACAAATGAATTCTCTCACCAGCAGCTAGGATGAAAAGTGCCAGGAAATATAATGTAAAGCAGTAGAAATGTTGTACAGTTGACTAGTAGACATCTAAGTGCAGGTGTCCATTGTCAGTTGGATATGTGAGTTTGCTGTTTACAAGGAATTCTATGGGTGGAAGTGTGGCAATTGTAAGCCAGGAACAGAGGTGGTCATGTGGGCAGACAGTGTAGAGTAAGAAAGAGACTTAAACTTGATTCTGAGGCCCTTCAATATTTAATGGGAAGGAAGAAAAGAGCTGCAAAAGAGGTAGATTAGCCACACAGTTGAAGGACAACCCAAGAGAAAGATATGAGTGTATTTAAGGAAATCAATGTGCTTCGAAGAACATCAGTTAATTTTTCTCTGAATAGTTTTCCCTTTTATGCAGTATATATTTTTAATACATAATTTCATATAATCCATGTAATTGTAAATCATATTAATGTATTTTAGATTGTGCTTTTTAAAAATAAGGACTTCATTAATTATCTACAATGATAATTTATCATGTCTTAGTAATACTACTTTATATATGAGTAAGCTGCTCAGTTTTTGTTAATTTGTTAAGCCGGGATAGATAACTATTTCCATTTTTTATCGAAATATCTAATGACTGCTGATAATGAAGCTATTCGTGAAATTATTGGCTTTATTAATACATTACTTAACTGACATCATTGTGACACTGGTTTACTAGAGCAGCTTGTTACTACATGCCCTTTTCTGATAGAGCTAGATATTATAAGGTTTTCTTAATATGATGCTTCAGTCATTTTCCCTAATGTTAAGAATATCACAAGTGCATGTGAATCTCAAGTTAATCAAAATACTATGTACATAATGACTGAAAACTTCCTTCGAAAATGAAAGTGGGAAGCTGGATGATGCAATCTCTTTCTCAATACTTCAGGTAAACAATACTGGTCTAAATCAACTGGAAATATAAAATACACAATGGAAATCCACCAAACATGGGAGTGTTGTGTATAATCAAGAAGTATTCACGGATTTAACAATTATAGCAGAAATCCAGAATACAAAACTCACAGGAAAGTATCACCGACAACTCACCATAATTTTTTTTTCATTGAAATTCCATTCTGCTTGGGCATTTGCATGATGTTGAGCAACCCACTTATCTTTCTCTCAGTTTCCCCATAAATTAAAGGAGTTCAAAACATTTATACTTTTTGTGACTATTAAATGAACTAATGCATTTCAAGGCACTTAGCATCATCTCTTCCATAAAATAGGAACTTTAAATATGATAGATATTTTTCTAATTTTCTTCAGACAGCTATATATGAGAATATGATTTGTCTCTTTCTAAAACTTTCATAGGATCTGTGTCATTTCAGTAACTGACTTTCAAAGGAGGCAGCTAAAACAAAGAACATTCTGTAATGCATTTAGAGAAGGCTAAAATTTTTCTGTTCATTTCCAAGAGGAAATGAACTTTTTCAGTGATGAAATGGTGGCTTGTACTACTATCTAAGAGAGAGAGGAATAAATGCTAGATAAAGGGCCGAAAGACGTGCCATTTAATGATTCTGGTCCAGGCACATTCCTTTCCTCCCTCTCAGCATTCAGAACACATGCCCCTATCACACTAATTTCCCTCCTCTCCGGGTAGAAATCGCCACAGCACCTCCTCATTACCTCTGTTTACCTCTCCACCCAATCTCCCAGCTGCTTTCTCTTCAGTCATGGTTTCAGTTTGAGGGTTTTCCTAAAGAGCAGAACATCAAAAGTTGAAAGCAAAAATTGAATGACATTTGTAGGTTTTGCAAATATCTGCAAAACAAGCTTTCTTTCATGTACCTTGAGTGTGTTGTAATAGTACCTGTAGCTAAAAGGAAACAGAAAGCAAGATCCAGTTTGTGGCTGGGCAAATGAAACTCCTACAGGGAAGACAGCCCCCTGGTGGCCTAGTTCAACATGGCAGCTACCAAGAGGAGGCCAGGCTTCTTCCAGACAGAAATCCTACCACTTTCTGGGAAAAGTCCCTTCGTGCTTCAGAGAGACTACTTGTAGACAGCAATAGATTCTAATGTTGTCACTTGCCTGTTTCTTTACCCTTTTGGTATACAAAGAGAAAGAGTTTCTGGCATTGGGCAATTAAAGAGACAGAGAAAGATATGTTTTCTGCCTACAACCTACCTGGAGGACCAGAGCCTCCCTGTGAATCACCCCTTTCACACACTATGGGATTCAGGTTGAGCTGCCAATCCAGGAAGGGAACTCCATGGTAATCTGGAAAATCTCATTAAACATTTATTAAACAATTCTCAATAGTACAATTTTAGTGTCATAGTCGTATTCTTAATATTAGACATCACTATTATTAAAGAAACAAGATTCTCCTTGAATCTGATTGAATCATGATCTTGACAACTCTTTCACTCAGTAGTAAGAACTCTGCCTAGGTAGTGGAAGAGAGACATTTGACATAAACTAAAGAATGTGAATGAATAGTCATTGTTACCTGAAAGCTAGTGACAGTGTATGTAGTGTAATGTATCCATTTTGGCATAATTTGAAAGGGATTTCTATAATCAGCACAATCTTTTCAATGAGATATTTCACCAGGAAGGATGTGGGAATTGCTAGGGAAGCAGGTAGGGCCTCAACTGTGGGGGGTCTCAAATCTCAGTGTTTGGATTTGCTGCTCTCCAATGTGGGGATACGCAGGCCCTGAGTTAAATTTACACAGATTTTTGTGCTTTATTGTCTGGTCCTCCCCATTGACCATGAGGAGGACAGAAAAATTTAGCAGATGGACAATGCTTGGGAACAATTATTTCCTAGACTGTATCAGTCAGGTTTTCCAGAAATAGAATCAACAGGTTAGAAATCCTCAGAAGACTTGCATCTTGCGTCCAAAGGCAGTCTGTCAGCCAAATTCCTTCTTATTTTGGGTGGTTACTCTGTTTTTATTAGTGAGTGATAGGATGAGGCCCACCACATTATGGATGGGAATCAGCTCTATTCAAAGTCTACTAATTAAAATGTTAAAGGCCGATATCTCAGGTGAAACGTACCTCCAAGGAAACATCTAGAATAATGTTTGATCAAATATCTGGGTACTGTGTCCTGGCGAAATTAACACAAAAGTTCACTGTCACATTGCTCCTCTCTCACCGATGTCCTAACACTTTTCAAATAGTATCCCCCTTCCAGTCTTTGATGGATGCGTATATACTTTATACTTAATTTTCCTTATTTTGTTGGTCTCTGGGTAAGAAAATCTTAAGGTCAGCTCCATTCAGCCACCTTGCCAATCAAGTCTCTGTGGCCATGTCCTGTTTCATATGAAGAACTGAAAAATTTGTATATGTTTTATTTATTTGTTTACTTACTTTTTAGGGAAAGAGAGATAGACACATCAGTGTGAGAGAAACATCAGCCTGCTGCCTCCTGCACAACCCCTACTGGGAATGGAGCCCAACCCAAGCATGTGTCCTGATCAGCAATCAAATCAGGACCTCTCAGTCCTTGGGAAGATGCTCAATCCACTAAGCCACACCGGCCGGACAGAAATTTGTATATATTTTTAAATAGTGAAAGTCAGCAAAATAAAAGCAATAGAATGCAACAATGAAAAGATGACAAGGGCCCTGGGTGGTGTTGCCCAGTCGTTAGAGTGTAGGCCTACTACAAAGGGTAATAAGTGCCATCCCTGGCCCCAGGACTGAGTGCCTGCAGGAAGCAACCTATTATGTGTCTCTCTCTTTCTTTTCTCCTCTCTCTCTCTCCCCCTTTCCACTCTCTCTGAAAATCAGTGAAAAAAAAATATCCTCAAGTGAGGATTGAAAAAAATTCTCATTGTCACTTTGCGTAATTACCCACTTGCATCCCTTTCACCTGACTGAATAATAAGAGAAAGGACAATTTAGGGAATTACAAAGTATACATTTGTTACCAACTGATGCCTGAGGAGTATTTATTTGGGTAGAACTGAGAGGTATTAAGGTTGGAGAAGTTCATCAGCATCAGGAAGTGTGTGTGAAGAGCTCAGCTAGGGATTTCTCAAATCTCTGCTTCAGGTTGCAGACTCTTCCTCACATTGCTTCTCTCCCATTGATGGCTTAAAGGCTCTAATCAACATGTGAAAAGATTTTTGTCCCATTCACTTATTTCTTCCTCCACCACTTGTGGGGACCTTGTAGAAACAAGACTACAGGAATATATTTTGGATTCAATTGGCTGCCTTTGGGATTGCAGCTGTCAAAAATAGTATGATTCCTTCCACTCTTTGGTTTATGGTTTTTTTTGTGTTTGTTGTTTTACTGTAACTTTACCTTTTTGGTTGTTTTCTATTGTTATTCTGGGGTTCAAAATTTTATGATTCTTTATTTGTAATGTCACCATTTCCTGAAAATCTCTATAGTCATTACCTGTTTTATATCCCAAAGTTCCTAAATAGTCAAAATTGTTGGAGGACCCAGCATCATTGTTGGAGGTCTGGGCAATGGGGACAGAGTGCTGAGCCACCAGCAGGCCCTAAATAGGACCTCCAGTGGAGCAGGAGTTTACACCCCAGGTGTGAGAAGGGACTCCCAGTGGGCTGTGAGGGATCAAGGTGCAGCACCAGATGGAAGCAGCAGGGGTTTTCCAGAGTCAAGTGCCAGAGGGTGAATGTGGCCTAGCTCCACCCTCCCTGCCAGCTGCAGTGGTCAAGACCCCCTGAGGCCCCGTCTGCATGGAAACTCAGTTAAGACAGGGAGCCTGGTCCACACATGACTTACAAAGAATCCAGGAGCTCCTACATGACACCAATTAAACAGGTCCAGTCTCATTCCACTAGGAGGAGGTTGCATCAATGCAATACTCACATTTGCTTAAAAATAGACAGGAAGCATCTAGAAACAGCAAGGAGTTGAAAGTCAGCAGCAGCTTGAGAACTGGGAGGAATGGAGACATATAAAGCCCAGACTGGAACCAGCAGGTGCTCAGGAGAGGGAACAATGGGAATGGCCACCACTGAGTCAACTCTTTCTTCAGATCATTTGGATTCTGAGTGCAAGCAGATTAAAATAGATGCTGAGAGCACAGAGTTCTCCCATGGCCAATAGAGGTGTCCCCAGCAAGAGTGTCACACACCACAGCCACCTCCTAAGTGCTAGAAGAGAAGAGGGTTACTCCAGTGCCAGCTGCAAACTTGTTTCAATTGTTAGGAAATTCAATTCCCTTACAATTAAAAGCCATTATCTGAAGCTCCTCAAGGTTTTGACCTTGGATTCTTGGTACCTTCCCAATAATTCATCCTTCTCTATTTATATTTCTCTCCAAACAGTGGCATAAAACAATTTAATACATCTAGGATTATTGAGAAAGTTGAGTTCATTATTTCAAAAGTCTTAGAACAGTGACTGGTGCATAGTTAGCACATAATAAACTTTGGTGACATTATTTAAAATATCATTCTCATTACTCTTAACTGGGTTATAAGCAGAATCTTTTAGGATCATCCAGTTCCCTTATTGATAATTCTAGATCTCTCAAGGCAAACTTTTAATTGCCTGATGGGATGTATTAACTAGATCAAGCACTCCGACCAGACCAGGATTAATATCCACAATGCAGCCAGAGAGAATTCCTGTTCTAGCAATGGGGGTTGGGGGGGTCAGTCTCTTGAGAATTGGTTGCTGTGATTCTTCCCTTTCCTCCTCAGAGCTGATCTCATGTGGATGAATGAAAGGAAAATGAAGTACCCGGTCATTGACCCAGTAGGTCCTGTGTTTTGAACCTCTGACAGAAGCAGCCAATTCCTGACTGTGTAATTCAGTACTGCCTTCCATGCTTCCCCTCTGCCACAGCACCGGGGTCCCAGCTTGGCTACAATGATTTTGGCCAACTTATATTGCTTCATTTTGTCAACAGACAAGTCACTTTCCTTCTTTCACTTATAGGACACACAGAATTATATTTGTTTTATTTTTGTCCATGAACAACTATCAACTTTGCCTTCTGGAAAAGTAGAAATGAGAAATCACAAGTCCAAAGCTTTGAAAATTATAGACAGAAATGGTGAAGCCCCTTTGATTTTGTTTTACTTCCCTTTGTTTCTATGAACCACAAGAGGAATATGAAAGAAATGCCAGAAGAGCCAGGCAGATGCCCAGTAAACCACTGTGTAACAACCATGCTATTTAAAATGAAAATGAAATATCACAAATAAGTAAAGAAAAGAAGGCCATTTCTCCTTGACACAGTGCTACAGCCTCCCTGCCCTGCATTCTGAGCATGAGAAAGAGAGGGATGAACAAAGAAACCCAATAAAAACATGCAGACTGAATGAACAATGAAGTTGACCAATTTCTATACTACAAGTTTCTACTGGGAGACCTCATCATTGAATCTCCTGTGCCCAGCTCTGAAGTTTTGAGGCTAACAGGTGATCACTGATTAAGTAATTATCTGAACAATAAAAGTTGTACTGGCCAAACAAAAAAGTATTGCCCTCTAAAACTAAAATGCTTGTAATTGCATAATTAATTCCTTGGCATTCTTAGACAAAATAAACTTTTGCTATCACCTTTTAGGACAGCAATAATAGCTGGGTCATGGCAAGGGTGGAGGATGTCACCACTGAGAACTAGGCTCGTTCATGTGAACACTACTGGCAGAAAGGTGAGGATCCTGAAATATTACTTTGGCAACAAAGACCTAATCCCTCAACATGGGGGAATTATAAAGGCCTCAGCATGGGGTCAGCCTGCCCTGAGGGAGTGAGTCCAGGAGAGGCTGGGTGGAGGACACCTTGTCACTGCAGAGGAAAAGCATTACTGGAGCTGCTGTCTGCCTCGTGAAGAAGGTGGTGCTGGGTAAATAAAATTATCTGGATGTTAGAATCTCCACACATACACACACCAGAAAAGAACCAGGATTCCTGCTGGGGGGATTGGCACAGCCTGAGGAGCACTAAGGACCAGTTACACATGTTGCAAAGAAGTGGCAATGTCTATAAAATCCTATCCTGGTTGCCACAGGGAGGCATAACCACAGGGACCTGCATGAATGGGTTTGAGAAGAAAAAGAAACATCCCAGAATCTCATTCACTAAAAATCTCCACCTCTGCTGTGAATTCAACAGGGGACATTTCTCAGTCCTTGGGAGTAAAGAGCTCATTTACCACACATGTTCTGGTAAGTAGTTGACAAAATGCACAAGCTCCCAGGTTGGAGGGAGCCTGGAAACCCACATAAATAAGGAGGGACAATTGGTGCCTGATGCAATGACAAAGTTTGTTTCTAATACAGAGAAGAGCAACAGCTATGTCATCGTCAATGTACGTGAGAACGTGCACGTGCGCGAGTATTTACACACCTTCTTACAATTCTGACATTAGGACTAAGACGTAGCGCATTGGATTGATAAGAATCCACTTGGACTGGCACATCTGAAGTCTACAGGCAAAATGACAACAGCAAAGTTAATAATCGTGTAGATTGCTGGCACCTTCTTCGACCATGTGGAGAGCTCATAAATGAAAACAAAAAAGGAAGTGAAGGTGGAAAGAAGTGTTCAGAAAATGAAAATTATTGTGTTCCCTATTTAAGGGCCATGTTTAGAAAAATCACTGGAGAAGCCGGCCTCTGGGTTGTTCAACAGACTTCCAGCTCAGCCAGGCCAGCAGCACCCTCCATTGCCCATGGCCCTCCTGCCCTCTCTACTCACGGCCCTGGTGGCGTTCAGCTATGGCCCGGGTGGATCTCTGGGCTGTGACCTGCCTCCAAACCATGTCCTGCTCAGCAGGGAGAACTTAGTGCTTCTGAGCCGAATGAGCAGAATCTCCCCTTCCTTCTGTCTGAAGGACAGAAAGGACTTCAGATTCCCTCGAGCCACTGTGGACGGCAGCCAGCTGCGGGAGGCCCAGGCCATCTCTGTCCTCCACGAGATGCTCCAGCAGACCTTCAACCTCTTGCTCACAGAGCACTCTGCTGCTGCCTGGAACACCACCCTCCTGGACCAACTGTGCAGGGCACTCCATCGGCAGCTGGAAGCCCTGGACACCTGTTTGGTGCGGGAGACGGGAGAGGAAGGATCTGCCCTGGCAACGCAGGGCCCTACACTGGCCTTGAAGAGGTACTTCCAGGGCATCCGACTCTACCTCAAGGAGAAGAAACACAGTGACTGTGCCTGGGAAGTTGTCAGAGCGGAAGTCATGAGAGCCTTCTCTTCAGCAAGACCCTTGTATGAAAGGTTAAGAAATAAGGAGAGAGATCTGAGGTCACCTTGAAAGGATTCTCTCACTGTTGAATGTGCCACATCACCTCTGACAATGTGCCTGTGTCATGTCAAAAGACTACTTCTGCTACAGCCACAGAGTGCCTTGACTATTGTTCAGCAAGTCTCTTGTCAGATAGGAAGTAACATAATGTTCCAAATTGAGCTCCTAGGTCAACAGTCTCTAATAGAACACTGCCCTGATGTTATTTATTTATTTATTTGTTTGTTTGTTTATGTATTTATGTATTCATTTATTTACTTATGTTTATTTTTTATTATTTAGTCTTTCATGTTATGATATTTATATATTTACATAACCAATCTTTGCCCAGATCTTCTATTCTAATATATAATACCCGTTCCATTCTCTGTTATTCAATGTACATTTTACTTTATTTATTAAATTACTATCAAAGAAAATTTCATGGTCTCTTTGGTCCTGCCAATCCTAATCCCTATTTGGTTTCTATGACTCTATCTCAGAATAGTACCTTTCTATTAAGTCCATAGCACAGTTCCTGCACTAGTCAGAAAGTGCCTATGACATGCTGGAAATCCTTGAGATTGAGAGGAGTCCTGGGAAATATGGAAGACGTTCAGGACTCATGTCAGAGTTGTTGTTTCTTTTGTTTGCTGGTTTGCTTTGTCTTCATCCTCACCCGAGTATATCTCCCACTGATTTTTAGATAAAATGGAAGCAAGGGAGGATGAGAGACAGAGAGAGAGACAGTGATAGAGAAACATCTATGCTTGACAGACACATAGAATGCTTGCCTCCTGAATGACCCCGACTGGGGCCCGGGATCAAACCTGCAACCCAGGTATGTGTCCTTCACAGGCAATGAAACCCCAGATCCTTTGGTCCCTGGTCCCATGCTCTAACAGCTGAGCCAAATCAGCCAGGGGTGATGTCAGAGTTGTAACTGCTTTCTATTCAGTCAGGAAGGGCCAGTGGGTAGACATATCTGAGAGGAGTCATCTAGAGTGTAGTGAGAAAGACCTCCGGTATTAGTTGGCTGATTCTGGCACCTGGTATTCTTCGTCCCTCCCTGTTCCCAGTCCTGCTTGTCTGAATGCATTCAGCCCCTTCCATCATCCCTTTGCCTCCCTCCCCGCTGTCACCCCTCACGGCCCACCTGCACAGGTGCTCTGGAAGTGTTGTGCTTTCAGCGGCACATTTCCCTTCTGAGTGAAAGCCAAAGGGAGAGACCAAAAGGTGCGTGGAATCTCCATGTTCTTCACCAGCACTTTAGACACGTCGGTTTCTATGAGGGTTCTGATGTGCATTTTGAGGTGAGCAAATGTCATGGTTACAGTGATGAGATAGGTGCTGAGGTCAAAGGAATCAGCTGAACTCAAGTGACTGTGTGTGAATTTCTCAGGTTGTAGGGACAGATAGCAAATTGGGAGGATTCCTTGGCTCTTTGCCTCAGGTGACCTTAGCCAATGCACTAGTTGGCTCTTCTACCAATTGTGGGTAATATTTGAATGAATTTTTGTCCCTTATCTTTCTGTCCTCAACTATTTTTTCTTGATGGACCAGTTTAGCAGAAGGAGAGAATCGTGGTCATAGTGGACTTTTGCTGTGTCTTTCTTTGATTGCCTAACACTTTCAAATCTTAGGATTCGTTCTATACGCCTTGCTCTAGATGATACACTGTATATATCACCAAAGGTAGGTAGAGAGATGGTTAGATGATACATTTTGGTGTACAGGGCTTTTACTGTTCACAGTAAATGCATGTCAAGAGTATTACATTTAACTGACAAATGTGCTGTTTGGCCAAGAGGGAAGTCTGCTGATTCCAACTGAGACCAGCTACACTTGGGCTTCCCTACCTCCAGCTAGATTTTAAGGGGAATTTCTGGATAACTGGTGACTGAAAGTAACCATCACAAGGACTGTCCCAGAGAAAGGATGTTCACATCCTCAGCTGCCTCTTTGGTTCCTGTGAACAGTGAAATTCCTAGAATATGAAGAGCTCATCTGTAACAAAATGAAATTGATAAAAAATAAAACAAGACAAAACAAACAAACAAACAAACAAAAAACAGCAGAGAGAGAGAGAACTCAGACAGTATCTTCAGAAAGCCTAGATTCCAAAGTGTTGCTGTGATCTTGGGAAGGTTAAAGATCCCGGGGCTGTGTTTTCTTCTTCATAAATTGGGAACAAGGAGAGGGAACCAAATCTGCCTATTTGTTAACACATGTGTACTAAAGCGAGTAGAACCAGACTGTCCCATGTAGGTGCTTGAAAACAACTGTTTCATAAGTGCATGTACTCAAAGAAGTGTTGAGACAGGAATGCATCCGGAAGGAACATGCTTAGAGTTCCTGAACCATAGTAGGTGCTCTATAGTTGCGTATTTATTTTACTATTCAACTATACTAAACTACACAAATTCGATGGTGATTTAATGCTAAAACTTTTGAAATGTTACGTTGATAATTAATATCGAAATGATTTTCAAATGGAACCAAATGATACTTATTTGTATTATAAATATTATTCAAAGTTCACGCTTGATATTAATATTTAAGTATTTCAATAGTTTGAAACGTTGAAGCAACAGCCTTTGGAATGTTCGCACTTTTCAGCATTTGTCTACTTTATTCCATAGGTCGGTAACGCTGCAACGTTGCAAAATCACATAAAACGTCACGAAGCCTGTGCGCGGGCCTGTCTCTTGTCCTCATGAGCCCTGACGCAGGCCCGGACCCAGGTCCACAGGGACCCCAACACGGTGCTGGCGCGCCCCAGGGTATCCGCGATCCTGGCTCTGAATCTGTGGGCAAGTGGCGGAGAAACTATCCCGAATCTGTGAGAACGGTCCAACACGCTCCGATTCCCAGCCTCCAATCCCTCAGTGGTCGGACTCTTGCTACACATGCCTTCCTAGAGTTTCTGTGCCAAACGAAAGCACCAATCTTGGGGGAAAGCGAAGAAAAAGCCAGGCTCTGTGCCTGGTTTCTAAGACAAATGTCCCCGGCGAGGCCCAGGCACAGCTCGGTCTTCAGCAGTCATCGCCTCAGAAAGGCAGGTTTTCTACTCACTAGTAAAGCAGCACCAAGTTGCTCCACGGAGCCGCGGTGGCCTTTCTCCACAGTCCCTGGTCCCACTGAAAACGCGGGCCTTTCCCAAACCCGAGGTGCAGAAAAGGAAACCAGTCCGCCCTCTTGCGGCCATGAGGGAGGTCCGCTGGTTCCAACGGAAAGCAGCTACATTGGGGCTTTCGCTACCTCCAGCAATATGTTCAGGCGGATTTCTGGATGACTGGTGGCCGCAAGTAATCATCTCAATGTCCGTCCCAGGGGAAGGATGTTCGGATCCCCAGCCGCGTCTTTGGTTCCTGTGAACAGTGAAATTCCTACAATGTTGCGAGCTCAGACTGTGGCTTCTGAAAGCCTAGATTCCATAACGTTGCTGTGGTCTGGGGAAATTTCACGTCCCTGGGTCTGTGTTTTCTTCTTCATGAAATGGAAATAAGGAGAGGAACCACATCTGCCCCTGTTTGTTACGCGAGTCGAACCAGTCTCACACGATGGTGCTTGAGAAACAAGTGTTTCATGAACGCATGTACTCAAAAGAGTGTTCCCAGGAATGAATCCTGGCGTAACAGGCTGAATGGAGTACCTAAACCATAGTAGGTGCTCCCTAATGTCCTATTTATTCACTATCAAAGTACGGAAGAATTTTAAAAATTGTCACAGAATGTTATTTTCATGTCAATTTTGTGACATTTTATATTGATATTTTCTATTACTTAAATATATCTAAACGTGTAAGATTTAATTGTTTTATGCTAAAAACATTTCCACTGTTACCTTAATATTTATGTAATCGGCCCATTTTCTTACTTTTTTGGGGGCGTGGGGGGGGGGGGATACGTGTACCTAGCGGGAACCGAACCCTGGACTCTCTGGTCCGCATGCCGACGCTCCAACCGCTGAGCCAAACTGGCCAGGACTAGTTCCATATTTTTAATTTATAATGCAAGAGTAGTATCCCATTAAAATAGTTTTCAAATCCTGCGCTGGAGAGAGCTATTCATTTATTTCCATTAAAATAGTTTAACAGTTTGAAAAGTTGAAGGAAAGGCCATTGTAATGTGGCACTTGTCTATACTTGCCTCCGCGGGTCGGTAACGCTGTCACGTTGGAAAATCACCCACAAAAGTCGCGCAGCCTGTACACGGGCCTGGGGCTTGTCCTCAAGACCCCTGAGCGCCGCGCCCAGACTCAGGTCCACAGCGTCCCCAGCGCGGTGCAGTCGCGCCCCGGCGTTTCCGCGATCCGGCCTCTGAGTCCCTGAGCATCCAGCGGGGACACTGTCTCCATTCTGTGAAAAGGGCCCGACACGCTCCGATTCCCAGCCTCCAAGCCCTCAGTGAACGGATTCTTGGTACAAATGGCCTCGCTAGAATTTCCCTGCGAAAGGAAAGCACCAAACTCCGGCCAAAGCGCTGGAAAGGCGAGCTCATGTGCCTGGTTCCTAAGACCAAAGCGCCCTGCCAGGCCCAGGCCCAGGCCCAGCTCAGTCTTCAGCAGTCAGGGCCGCCGAAGCGAAGGTGCACTATTAAAGCAGGTCCTAGTGGCTCCGCGGAGCCGGAAAGGCTGTTCTGGCCCGCGACCAATCCTTTTGCCAACCAAGGCTCCCCAGTCAGCGTTTTCCACCCACGAGCGCCAGAAAAGGCCCTCCGCGCGCCCTCTTGCGGCCAGCGGGAGACTCGCGCTTTCCAGGGAACCAGCGCGGAGAAATCGGTGCTACTCCTCCGCGTGTCTCCCCCTGGCGGCTGTCCCCAGAGTCACGGGATTTCTCAATGGCCCAGGTCTACTTGTGGCTAGTGGCAGGAGTGATGCTCAGCTCCATCCCTGCTTGTTCTCTTGGCGAGGACGGACGTTGGACCCATAAGACAGACAACTGGAAAATCTTAGATCTTTTGAGACAGCTGGAACGTATCCCCCCTCAGTTATGCCTGAATGACAGAATCGACTTCCAATGTCCTTGGCAAAGGGGGAATGTCACCCAAATGCAGAAGCCTCAACGCACCTGTGTGCAGCATGTGGTGCTCCAGCAGATCTTCAGCCTCTTCCTATCGACAGATAGCCATGCTGTGTGGAACCAGACCGTCCTCGGTCAACTACTCTCTAGCCTTGCTAGCAGTCTGGTACGCATGCAGCTGGCGGAAGAGGAAAATCTGGCTTGTCCCGATTGGGGAAATCGTGTCCGGAAGTACTTCCAAGGAATCCACAACTACCTGAAAGGAAAAAAATACAGCTCCTGTGCCTGGGAGGTGGTTAGAGTCGAAATTCAAGTACACCTTGTCCTCCTGTAGCAATTCTCAAAGGGAAGTCAAGAAATGAAGAGGAAAGTTGCACTGCTCACTCTCTCTATTCAATTGCACTCTTTGTTAAGACCCCAGACAATCTCCACGCACATTTCTCCACCCGCTAAGAAAGTCCTGACACCAGAATCGTGGGGTTTCAAAAACTATATATCGTACATCATGAATTTACAAAATTATGTTCAGAGAGAAGCACGCGAGCTACTTTCTATAATAAACAATATTAGGACCCAAATGTTTTCTCTGTTGAATTGTTTTGTGGGTGTGTGTGGGAGCGTGGGGGGCATTCAGAGGCAGGAGCTCTGTGTTTTTGCCAAAAGGAGAGGCCCTTCAGGGGATTTTTGTTAAAGACATTCTTCAGTAAAGTTAATGCTACCCCTTCTAACGGATGAACAGAAAAGCGTCCATCATTGTGGCTCTTCAGTTTTCCTTCGTACAGGAGCACAACGCAAGCATCCTGATCAGAAGACTCTTCTGTTGGCTCTTGAGCAAACAGTCATTGGAGGTTGGGTACCTTCTATTTGGGAAATTTGCCGTTCTCAATACCTGCCGCCAAATTTCTCTCGCAAATTGAGTTTATTCCTCTGAGTTGCACAAAGGAAATTATGGTAAGTCACATGGAAGGCTTACAAGGCCGGAAGTGTACAGGGCAGTATCACTTATGCTCCCACTAGTTGGTCTGAATTTAGTCTCCTGTGATGTGTCCAGTGCAAAGAAGCTGGGAAACAGAATCTAAGCTGATGATCAATGGCAGTGGAGACAACCTCATTGAATAAGACCACACTTCCCCTTTAACCTTTTGCAGTAACAGGTTTTTTTTTGTTTTGTTATTGGTGAAAAATAGAACATATGAGGTCCCTGCACACACTTTATCATCATCAACAACCACAACCCTGAAGGTCTGATTGCACAGGTTAAACTGTGGAGGAGAAGTCATGCATGTTACTAGTTGGACTTCACAGCATCACGGACCCTTTACAAAGGAAAACGCATCCAGGGTGATTCCCCGAGGCACACGCCAAAGTGGGAACATGGCCACACATTATTATTTGAGGTCTCAGAGCGCATAACAAGGTTCACGTTGTTTCCTAGTTGCCTGAAGGGCAGCCAAGAAAGCGTAATCGGGTAACACCTTGCAGGTAATGGAGGACCACTGAAATCAACGTGGAGAGCGAGTCTTCCATTCATGACCACACCCACCATTCTCATCCTCACATTCTAAATGTTGAAAACACGTAACTGAAGAACATATCCCGCAATCAAAATGAGTCATTTCTGAAAATACCACTTCACCCAAGATTCAGTGATCACTTCCCTTGTAGAACCAGAAAGTCTTTAGAAAGTACCTTGAGCTCTATTGTGCTCTTAGGTCATGTGTATGTATACAATGTTGGTATTCTTCTTTCTTCTAGGAGTATCATGATTTTTCTCTTCTTGAACATTGACCAAGCTCCTGAAATGCAAGGTGTTGCACGAGATCCCTGGCAAACAAATTTGAGCACAGTGATTTCTCTCTCCTGAAGTATTTTACAGAACCTGGGAGTTCTGTTAGGAGAAAATGGGTCAGGTGATTTGTTAATGCATCGGGTTACTTTGACCAAATAGCACAGACTGAGCACCTGGTAAAGAACAGTATCTTGACTCACAGTTGGAGAGGCTGAAATTCACATCAAGGTGTCAGCACGGCTGGGTTCCCACCAGAGCCTGTCCTTGTCTGCACACTGCTGACTTCTCCTTGGATCCTCCCATGGCAGAAGCCTGAGGGATCTCTGGCAGGCCTCTTCTAGGAAGACACTCATTCCATTCCTGAGGGCTCCACATTCATGCCCTGATGATTTCCCACAGGCCCCACCATATTCCATCATCATCATCTTGGGGTTGGGGCTTCAACCTAGAGACTTTCGGGGGACATAAACCATCAGATCGTGGCAGGTCATTCAAGGATTCATGCCTGACATCTAGTAGAGAGAATGTCCCGTGCTTAGACAACAAAGAAGAATGAGAAGGTGAAAGGGCAAAATCAGCAGACCAAGGGCTGCGCAGTCAAACCCCTGCTCTTTGACCCGAAGCAATGTTTCAATTAATACCTGTCAAATGTTGGAAAGCAAAGTACAGTGGACTCACTGTCCCACAGAGATGCATCGAGTGAAAGGGAAGCATAGGATCACTCATCGTTCTCTCTGAGGGGATTTCCCAACAATCTCAGCATAAAGGGAGGTCTCTGCCAATTCAGCCAAAGTCCACCAAAGAGAACATGTGGTCAGTCATCTGAGTGCGGAGAGCTGTGCACATCAGGGACAGTTTGAGTTTAGTTTTGTGGCTGTGTATATAACGCCTGGCTAGATAGTTTTCTATTGTGACAAAGCAGAGAGCAAGTTAGAGATATGAGCGTCCATGTGCTTCCAATACCATGCTAGACAAAGGCCCCAGGGTGAGTGGAATGGAAGTGTTAGCCATGGTCTATGATAACTCTAGCAAATATGCCCACGATGAAGCAAAATAGCTTAGCTATTCCCGATTGCCTTTCCGTAGGAGGAGAAAGTCTGAGAAACTGCTTCCGTAAAAATTGCTTTATGAGTGATCACACGGGCTTGTTGCTGCGGGTAAGACCATCAGAAAAGCACGTCCTCTTATGGAAGAGCTGATTTCGGAAACAACGTTCTCCTACCTGCCATTTCAACGAGTAGGAATCTGAAGGGCTGAGGCCAGGTCACTTTGCTGCGAAACAGAGCTTACGATGAAATCTGGAAGTTCATTCTCTACACAAGAATTGTCAATGTGAATTCAGTTCCATGGTGTACAAAGATGGTTTTCCTTTATGTGAGAAGAGAGACTTCATGGGAAAACTCTGAAAGCTCTTTGACGAATTGAAATGTTCAAACAAAAATACAATGGTAGATTCCAAGTGAGGTTGTGTAAATTCTGTCCTCTCAGTGTGGCTGATATTGACCCCAAGCGTGTGCAACAACCAGCTTTCAGGAGTGTGAACAAATCTGAGGTATTACCGTGGTTTTGGGTGCTCCAAAGCTCAACCGTCTCCAACAAAATCTAATTTCTTAGTGTTCCTCTTTCCCTTTGGATGGTCATGTGCATCCGGTTGGAAGGATTTCCTTGAATTCAGAGAACATACAGAAAATGTATTCAAGATCACTGCTACAAAGCTGCTGTGACTTGACGGCCGCATGGAGGAGTTTTCCTCCTGTTTTGCATGGTCAGAAGGATCTATCGGTGCCCGAGGTGGAGTGGCTCAGTGCTTAGAGCATCCGCCTCAAAGTGTGAAGCGTGGGTTCAATTCCCGTCAGGGGTACTTACCTGGATACCTGTATTGCAGGTTCGACCCCTGTCCCCATCCATGTGTCTGTGTTTCGCTCTACCTGTGTCTTTCTCGCTCTCATTCTCGCTTTCTCTGTCATTCTCTCCTCTCCCCACCCCTCCCCACCTTCAGTTCTTTCTCAAACTAAAGAGAGAGAGAAAAAAAATCAAAAATATCTTTGGGTGAAGATTACCAGCAACAACAAGAACGACAAGTCATGTTGGGAGAGGTGGCCTTTGCTTACTGATGAGCTGCTGTTGACATTCTTGTGGACATCGCTTACGTTTGAGAATTAGGGTGACATTGTCTGAAAGAATTCAATGCAAAAAAATCTTACTACTTAGTGCTACTAACGTTATTCAACACGTCAGTAATAATCTCCAGTGCTAAACAGGAAACAAAATGTTGACAATATCTCGATGAATGTCTTGCAGCTGGTGAAATTAAAATGTATTTTCTGGTATGAAGCAAAGTGGAAAGTACAGTACTGAAAGGTAAATGTGAAGAAAAGACTTTCATTTTTTGTTGTGTTTAGTTGCTTTGACTGATTTCAAAATGTATCTCTACACTGGTATTACTGGGAGGTGTTCCATGAATTTTGATTTGAAGACATCATTGGATAGTTTAGTATTTATAGAAGTCAATACATGACATTAAATATTGGTCTGCAAACACAGTGATGAAATTCAATGAAACCGACTTGAATGAAAATTCAATCAAATGTCAATGAATAGACATTGTAATTCAATGAAATGACAATAGCTTAAAATTACAATTTATTCCTTCTTAATTCTTCACTGAATACAATAACTAAAATGGATACTTGCTTTAGATACAAAACACAGGTTCGTCACATGATTTCAGGAAAGTTCAATCTCTTCCTGATCAACTCTACAGACACTAGTGGCTCTCAGGGCCTGTACCGATGCAGGCATTGGAAGGTGCACTTATTTATCTATGGACTTACAGATGTGAGTTGTTCTTGTCCATACACTACCAGGTACAGGCACCTCCATGTCGTGTTACTATGATTAAACATGTCTTCCTGATGTACACTATTTAGATTTGTTTGGTGTATATTAACTTTCTCTCAGAGTACACTTTGGGAATTTCTTCATGGCAAGAAAATGAATAAAGAGCAAGCACACTGTTAGGCAGCCCTGGCTGGTTTGACTCAGAGGATGGAGCCATGGCCTTAGGACCAGAGAGGTCCGGGTTCAGTTTCTTGTAAGGGCATATACCTGGTTTGCAGATTGCCTTAGGCCCTGTTTGGGTCGTGTGGTTGGCAAGTTCTCTATCTGTGTCTCTCTCATCGATGTTTCTCTCTCTCTTCTTCGCTCTCTCCCTCCTGCTCTATGTCAAGATAAATGCAAATACATTTTTTGGTGAGGATAAAATAAACAAAAAAACAAAACAAACACTAAGCTATATGGATCATCTTGTTTTTAGTAGAGATGACATGATGGACATACCCAGCATGTTGCACTGAAATCAGAAGCAAGCACTAATATTTCTGAGCCAGGTTGTGTGATGCCCTCAGCATATAAAGATGAACAGGACCAATGTTATTCCTGATCTGTAGTATTAAATTTTTGTGAGAAATAAACATAAAACCAATAAAGAAAATTTATATCTGTTAGGGAAATGCTACATTGAGAAGAAGGAAAAACAAATGAAT